CCCACCCAGACTCAGTACCCAACTCTACATCTGTGTCTTTTCCCCTGACTACTATTTTTGTTCATGGGGGTCATGTAGGACTGTCTTTACCCTTTTATCCTTTCTCTTCCTAAGTGTGAGGGGTAAAGCCAGAGGAGGATTTAGGTTGCGCAGTGGAAGAAAGATTGTGTCAAAAATGAGCCATTAATATTTGGAAAATTGTTTTAAGTTTAAAAGCCTGAGAAATGCATAAAATTGAAATTTAATTGATACAGGCAAGTGGTTATGCAAATGATTTTTGCCCATCCTCCCATTTTAGTCAGTTATGTAGTTTTTCAGAACAACTTTCAACCAGTACTTTCTTCAGTTGTCTTTGAGATTTTTATAAACTAAAGAAGAAGCAACAGAAAAAAAAGTGATTTGGAAGCTCATTTAAAGTCACTGTGCTTGAAAAAGCAATTATGTGGCTCCTGGCAGTTGTAGGAGAGTGGCTGTCCCCAAATTGAGCTACCAAGGACAGATTGTCAAAGCCCAGAGAAGAATCATTGTGTAAACATTAGAGCCCAGCAGGACCTTCAGAGGCCTAAGTGAGATGTTTGCCCTGTGTAAATCCCATGCAGTGTTACAGCTTCCTGGAAATCACTGGCATAGGAAGGTCCGAGTGTTGCTGCCAAGGTTTGATGTCTGCTGCCTGGAGCTCTGAGGAGCACAATTAGCACGTGGTTCCACCATGAGCAGAAACCACCAGATTTCTGCACAGCTGAGCCCACTCTGGCATTGTTTTAAAGGCCCTTGGAGAAATACCGAAGGCAGAGCTTCAGGTGCTAGGTAATAGACAATTTGAGAAACATTTCATTTAACGTGTCTTAACTATGTTAAGCACACTTGTCTCATTTGGCTGGCTCTAGTGTGGAGAAATGCAGACATGCTCCTTACACTGTTTTCCCATTCCTTGGTATTTCTAACTGCATACCCATCTTCCCCATTGTGGACTTAGCCTCCCAGGAAAAGGCAGCAAGGAGCAGCAACTATTAATAAAAGGTGTACAGGCCAGGTGCGGTAGCTCATGCCTGTAATCCCAGCACTTTGGGAGGCTGAGGCAGGTGGATCACCTGAGGTCAGGAGTTCGAGACCAGCCTGACCAATATGGTGAAACCCTGTCTCTACTAAAAATGCAAAAATTAGCTGGGCATGGTGGCGGGCGCTTGTAGTCCCAGCTACTTGGGAGGCTGCGACAGGAGAACTTCTTGAACCCAGGAGGTGGAGCTTGCAGTGAGCCAAGATCACACCACTGCACACCAGCCTGGGCAGCAGAGCAAGACTCTGTCTCAAAAAAAAAAAAAAAAAAAACAACAGATGTAGCAAGAGTGACTCAGTGTTACCCGTTGTCCCTGGAGACCAGCAAGAGGAAAACTAGAAATGTGAGGCAACTCAGAAAACTTGCTTAAACATCACTGAGGGCGAGGGGATGCAAAAATCGGGCAAAGGCTTCAGGGGCCGGAAATTGGCTCAGCCAACAGTGCAGTGCATGCCTTGAGTTTCAAGACAGCATCTTTCTCTGCCTCTTCTATAAGAACATGGTAATAGAGTAGCCAGTCTTTCAGTTTTCCCAGGATTGGGCAGATGAAGCTGGGGTGAAAGAACGCAGTGGGCATCTCTGTCCCGGGGCTACGAGATGACATAGGGAAATGGAATCTGAAAGACCTTGAATCCATTTCTACTTTGTCTTTCTCACCCTGCAGCCAAGGGCAAATCTTCTCAACCTACTTGGGCTTTAGTTTCCTTGTCTGTAAAATGAGGAATTTTGAGTTTTTTGCAAGGTTTAAGTGAGATGACATTAGTAAATTACCAGCCATTGTTAGTCACTTAACAATGGGAGCTATAATTATTATTTTTATTCATAAGCTGAGGTAAAATATTCTTCCATTAGATTTACAAGACAAGCATCAAAAATTAAAAGAATAGATTTTACATGCCCTAGAACTTGTCCTGCGTTATAGTTGTTCAGATGAATCTATATGACTTCAGTTTGTCCTATTCAAAGTTCATGAGCTGAAATCCACATATCAGAACCTGTGGATCCTTTGAGAGAAATGAAAACTTGTTCACAGAGACTCCCCTGCTCCGTTTTAACCTGGCGTGGGTGAGATTTCTCTACTGATACTGAATAAGAAACAAGTGGCTTTTCTTTTTTTTTAGGGAGAAATTCTTGCTCTGTCATGTCACGCAGGCTGGAGTGCGATGGTACTGCAGTCATAGCTCACTGCAGCCTCAAACTCCTAGACTCAAGCCATCTTCCTACCCCAGCATCCCAAGTAGCTAGGACTGCAGCTGTGTGCCACCATGCGTGGCTAATTTTTAAAAATTTTTTGTAGAGATGGGATCTCGCTATGTTGCCCAGGCTGGTCTTGGATTTCTGGCCTCAAGACATCCTCCCTCCCCAGCTTCCCAAAGCATTGGGGTTGCAGGTGTGAGCCACCAGTCCCATCCAAGAAAGGAGCTTTAAGCACATTCAGTTCTTCAGACGCCTCTGTTACCTGCATCCCCTAACTCCAACTTTCCTGCTTCTCTTTCTCCTTTTTAAAGTACATACACTGTTAAACTTGCCAAGTAGTGCTATTTTTTTCCCCATCTTACAAGAACTATTTCTCATTTTCTTCTTCCTTTTTTTTTTGTTTTTTTCTTTTTGAGACAGAATCTCACTCCATTACCCAGGCTGGAGTGCAGGGGCATGATCTTGGCTCACCCCAGCCTCCGCCTCTGGGGTTCAAGCAATTCTTCTGCCTCAGCCTCCCAAGTAGCTGGGACTACAGGCGCATGCCACCATGCCTGGCTAATTTTTGTATTTTTAATAGAGATGGGGTTTTACCATGTTGGGCAGGCTGATCTTGAACTCCTGACCTCAAGCGATACACCCACCTCAGCCTCCCAAAGTGCTGGGGTTACAGGCGTGTGCCACCACGCTCAACCAGTATTTCTTATTTTCTTCTAATAAACCTTCTAGAGTTCCACGTTAGAAAGCTCTAGAGAGAAACATTTTTTAAAGAGCTCAGGCTTAAACAGCAAAACTAAACAAAACAAAACAACTCTGAATATTTAAATGCCACTCCTCTCCACCCAGTGAAAACTTTGCTTCTTACTTCATGAACCAGGTAATAGTTATAAATTAACCTTCATCTCATCATCTACTAATAAGCTGTAATTTCTCCGTGAGATGTACAGGGTTTTGAGCTAAAATGCTAGACTACATTTTAAGCAGTGCATACATCAGCTTCTAACTAAGCTAACTTTTCATTCGAGCATTTTCATTGCAGCACTTTTTCTAATCAAGTCCCTGTAATCAAAGCTCATTTTTAGTTTTCTTTGACATCATGGCATTTTGTCAGTATAATCAGACGTTCTGTTTAAAAAAACAAAAAACTGGAAACACACAATTTTTCAGAATAATCTTTCAAAAAATCTTTTTCTGGATCCCACTTTATCTTCTTCCCCTGTTCTATTTTTAGAAGATAAATAAGCTTACACACTCACTTTAAAATAGTGAAAGGCTTATTGGTGGGAAAAAAACCTTAAGCCCTGTTCAACCTTGATATTGATAAATTCTTAAAAGTGAGGGAAGGAAGTAGGGGAAAAGGCACTTTGGTACCTGATGCCTGTCCCTTATTTGGGCCAAGGGGGACCTGAGACAAATAAAAATGGGGAAAAGAGGGGACAAGAAGTAGTGATTGTTAGAGAGGCTGTCTGAACTAATAGCAATGTTAGCTTATTTATATTTTACAAAATATTCTGGCCTTGTCTCTTCTGAAACTTCAAATGATTTGTATAGAAACAAGGACTTGATTAACACGAAGTCACCTCCATACAGTGAATTCTTTGACTTGGCTTTGCGGGTTAGTTCATGTGCTTTGCTAAAGTTGTCATGAACTTTAGGGAAGGAGTTGGGTCTTCATTCCATGTATGTGAATTTTGAATCCAGATTAGCAAGATGTTAGAACACGGGAAAGGCTATTTCAGACTAACTCGTTTTGGAGTAGTGCTTTGGAGGGATCATCATGGATGTAGTGACTAGATAGAATGCATTTTCGGGACAGTCCCACTTTAAAAACCTGTTCCCATCGATGTGCCTGTGGTCTGATTTTTAGTTCAGAAAGTATAACCACTTCCACAAGGGGTTCAGATCATTATACATTCTGCAAGTTTTAGAACCCAGTGTCAAGCCTACATAGGGATGTGTGTCATGCCTTTGGAGAGCCACCTCCCACCATAGAGACACGTGTGAGTTTGATTTGTTCCAGAGTTGCAGTTTAGATACTCACTCTGAGTAGTACCTTTGCAGAGGAAGCCGTTTAACCATGGGTCTCTTGTGTTCTAAGGAAACAAATCTACTCAGGGAACCAGATTGAGGTGGAATCAAAACAAATTTTGATGAGAATTTTCTTAAATTCTTCCCTTAGCTGCAGAACTTCTTTGTTAATGATGTATATGAAAGCTTACCATATAAAACAGGTCAAAGCCGAGGCAAGGAGCTAGAAAACCCACCCTTTGGGCCTCTCCTTCCCATCCAGTAGCAGCCCGAGGCCCTGCTGAGAGGCCTTTCAAGACACTGTTGAACTTGGTGGGCTTAACCATACACTGAGCTGGCGCGGCCGGGGATCCATCTCAGCCCCTGCTTCCCATTCAGCCAGACCCAGACCCTGCATTCCAGCTTTGGTTGTGTGGATCCTCTGGAGGAGGACCCTTGGCTGTTTGTCCCCATGCATTTCTTGATGTCAGGCAGCAGCATCCGCCAGTTGTGACTGTCCTGCCTGGACTACAGGTTTGGTTGGATGTGCTCTACAAACCTTGCTCCTCTCAAACGTGCGCTGCCATGGTGTAGCTTCCGGCGCTTCACTCTACTTCTCTCTGCTGGGATCCCTAGTGGGGCTGGATGCTTGTACCAGACTGTGGAAATGGGGAACATACAACTTGGTTCTCTTACCTTCGCCAGACTTCTCCTGACTACATTTTGTTTTGTTCAATAGATGATGATTCAGATCTGTACTCTCCCAGATACTCGTTTTCTGAAGACAGTAAGTGACTTCGAATAACCTGGTTGTGGGGGAGGAAGGGAAAGTGGTGGATGAAGGAAGATAATCACCCTGTTTTCAGTTTTCGTGAGTTTTAAGTCTTTTGTCTGCACTCTTTCTCCAGCAAAATCTCCCCTTTCTGTGCCTCGCTCAAAAAGTGAGATGAGCTACATTGATGGTGAGAAGGTAGTCAAGAGGTCGGCCACGCTACCCCTCCCAGCCCGCTCTTCCTCACTGAAGTCAAGCCCAGAAAGGTAAGTGCCCACTTGTCTCTCATTCATCCAGCCTGGGCCTCGTCAGTGTTCATTGAGACCTAGGAGCCTCCATTCTTAGGAATGTGGAATTTGAGTCTGTCCCCTGTCACCTGTTAGCAGTGACTTCTTATTCCTTAGCCTCAATGTCCTCCTCTGTCAAATGGGGATAAAAATAGCATGGTTCCTAGTAAGGATAGTGCAAGGATAAAATGAGATAGTGCATGTAAACATTCCTGGTAGCACTTGGCTCAGAGTATGAGCTTAATTAATATTGACTATCATTATCATCACTTTTTACATTTTCACAAGAGAAATCTTAACTGCAAGATTTGTCACACGTTGTCACATTCTTTGTGCATACTGTGTTCACATATTCATAGCAATGACTATAACTTTAAAAAGAAGCCACACTTTTTAATGTCCATTTACTCATACAACATGTATTATTGAGACATAAGCCTTGGACTTGTTCTAGTGACGACATTAATAAATCTCTTAAAATGCCTGCACCAAACAACACAGTTTTCTTTTTCTTGAGTTTTTTTTTTTTTTTTTGAGACGGAGTTTTGCTCTGTCGCCCAGGCTGGAGTACAGTGGTGCGATCTCTGCTCACTGCAACACTCTGCCTCCTGGGTTCAAGCAGTTCTCATGCCTCAGGCTCCCAAGTAGCTGGGACTACAGGTGTGCACCACCACTTGCGGTTAATTTTTGTGTTTTTTTAGTAGAGACAGGGTTTCACCATGTTGGCTAGGCTGGTCCCAAACACCTGACTTGAGTTCTTATCCCTAAAAATGCCCTCTGAAGCAACTTTCTCATGCTATTTAGACAGGTGTTCCATGCATCTTCCAGCCCCAACTTACACCACTTCTCAACTCACAGAAGGCTCTGGCCAAACAAAAGTATTTACTTCTTCCTTAAATACACATCCAATTTCATACCTCTATACCTTTTCCAATCTCATAGACAAATTAATGGCTGTTTTAAAAGCACCACACAAACTTAAGTGGCATCTGCCTGAGGAGTTTGATAATTAATTTGAAAAGAAAGCTGGGTATACCTGCAAATCCCTTATAGGTACCTTCATCCAGAACCCACTGGGTGTATTCTCTGCAGATGTATTATGGAAGGATATAGGTATATAAAAATCATTATCTGCCTTCAAGAAGTTTACAGCCTTGCATGAAAAACTTAATATAATCACAGAGCAAAGTACAGTAATGCACAAATAAAAAATTTGCAAAATAGAGCTTATCGTAACCAAAACAGCTTGGTACTAGCATAAAAGCAGACATGTAGACCAATGGAACAGAATAGAGAACCCAGGAACAAATCCACACACCTATTGTGGACTCATTTTCCACAAAGGTGCCAAGAACACACACTGGGGGAGAGACAGTCCCTTCAGTAAATGGTGCTGGGAAAACTGGCTATGCAGAAGACTGAAGCTAGACCCCCATCTCTCACCATATACCAGAATCGGTTACTGACTTGAATCTAAGGTCTCAAACTATGAAACTGCTATAAGAAAACATTAGGGAAAATCTCCAGGACATTGGTCTGGGGAAAAATCTCCTGAGTAATACTTCACAAGCACAGGCAACCAAAGCAAAAATGGACAGATGGGATCATATCAAGTTAAAAAGCGTTTGTACAGCCAAGGATACAATCAACAATGTGAAGAGGTAACCCAGTTACCTCTTCCCTATTCCAGTGTGAAACAGGGAAGAATGCAGTTATGGTAGCAGCTAACATTTATTGTGTGGTTACCATGGGCCTGGTACTCTGCTCAGTGATTTACATGCGCTGTCTCATGTAAATTGTTTAGTCCTTACAACAACCCCATTTTTCAGATGAGGAAACTGAGATACCAAGAGGTGAAATACTTGTCTAAGATCACCTCGCTAGCAAGGGGTGTGGCAGGATTTGAACCACAGTCAACTGGCTCCAGGACCTGTGTTCTCTCTCACTGCAGTAGTGTGAGTGGGAAGTACAGGCATGTCTGTGGAATGCAAAGCCCATGAGAGTGAAGCAAGGTGAAAGATTTTTCCAGAGCCAGCTTTGATGCTGCTGCCACCTCCTTTCCTGTTGCTTTCTCCTCTCCCCTTCCTGGTGCCTGATTTTGAGCACAGGACATCTCAAACCTTTTGTGAAGCGAACACCAAAGTTTAACTGGTTGTTTTGAGAAGCAAACCAGCACAACTAAATTGTTCACCCTGACTCCGATTTTATGCTTTGGATATAAAGTTCTTTGATTACACTGCAGCCATCCAAAGTCAGACTGTGTCAGAAGCGAATGCCAGTTGTCATGAAAATAGCTCTAATAGAATTTTCTTTCTACAGAAATGACTGGGAACCCCCAGATAAGAAAGTAGATACAAGAAAATACCGTGCAGAGCCCAAAAGCATTTACGAATATCAGCCGGGCAAGTCTTCCGTTTTGACCAACGAAAAGATGGTAATGTGCATATTAAAGTTCTTTTGTCTCACCTTGCCCATGTTCTTTAATCAGAATGCATTGTGCAGTTGGATTACATTCTTTCCCCCTTGAGATAGACTTGCTTTGTTTTGAAGATAATGACAAAAATGAAATACTTTTACCATTTTCAGTTTTGCAGGTGTTCATAAAACAAGTCCCGCGAGTCTGCTTTTAAAAAATCCTCTTACTGTGGCTCTGTTGCTCTTTTTGTGCATGGTTTTAACTAATATTAATTTTTCTACTAACATAAAGATTGATTTTGCTGCTGTCTTTTTTTAAATGTCTAAGTGTTCATTTATCAGGCTTGTCATTAAGTGGACTGAAGTCTAGTTTTTTTTAAGTGACTCTGAACAGGCATAAATTTTGTACAAGTTGCTAGAACATCATTAAAAGCTACATAACTGATAGGATGTTGTGACTTGGAAAAAAGGCCCCAGGCTGTTAGAATCTATCTTTTAGGTCTTCCTTTTCTGACAAGTGCAATATTGCGGACTAATTTCATATTCGACCTGGTTTATGATTCCCTATAACAGTTCACATCTCTAAGCAATTATGAGTGGGGGAAATGGTGTGTATGCATATAGCAGACCACCCTGGAAAAGCAGCCTCTTCTGTGAAACAGGGAGAATTCTTACACATTCGGTAGTTTCATACCTGCCAATCATGCGTCCTTTTATTCACCCTTCATTAGGAAAAGCTGGTTTGGAATTGTGATCCTAGTTAAGGGGTTCTCCAAAGCTTCATAAACATTGCAGTCCTCCAGCGGGACAGCAGGATGGAACTACTATGCTGGGGGTTGGTTTTTATTAAAATGTGGTCACCACAATGTGTGCAGAATAAGCAGGCCTCTGAAATGCAGGCTCCAATTATGTTCCCTTTGCCTCTTCGGCTCTACAAGTTTTGAAAGAAGAATCGATTTGATTTCTACTGAGATAAAAATGTGACATCTCTAAAAGCACTGAACGATAACTCATTTTAATTAGGAAAAAAGGTCAACAGGTCACAGACATACTTGGAGTTGTCGTTCTGCAGCGTTCACTATGCACCACAGTTATTTCAAGCAGAAAGTTCAGAGAGGAGCACAGAATTTTACCACTGCCCTTCTTTGGAGGTTCTCTGCTGTTAGAAGATACCGTACGTAAGAAACATGGAAGGTAACCTTGCACCCAGGTGCCCCTGCAAAGAAAGTCATGCTCCTTGGGTTTATTTGCAACATTAATAATAAGTCTGGGACCCACCATTACATATGAATACGTTTAAATGATTTCAGGGACTCTGTAGACCTTTGGGTGTTTTTGTCTTGGCAGTATCACCGTTTATAGTTTTTCATGGCTCTTACTGAAGGCTCCCTTTTCTCAATTTCTCCTTTGTTTCCAGCTCCTTTCCCTGGTTCTTAGTCATTTAACCACTACTGAGAACTAGGAAAAACAACATAGTTTTGTTTTTCTCATTGATACTGCGGTAGTTTATGAGAATCTTCCATACCACACTTCTTGGGATCATTTACGTTGTTTTTACAGACCCTGAAAAGTAACACACAGTGCCCCACGGGGCCCTCTTGGAGAATGGTGGTGAGCATGCACGTGGATTGCAAAGCTGCTCTGTGTAGTACCAAGCCCTAGGCCAAGCCACTAATGGGGCTTGAACACCAAAGGCAGGCCAGGGCGGAGTAGGAATGTCCAATAGTTTCACCCAATTTAGCTCTGTTCCTCCAAAGAGAAGTCTTAGTTGAATCTTAATCTTTTGACAGTCTGCCCTTCACAGTAGTCGAATTCATCCTTTATGTTTGATTTCGTTTCCTGCTGTTTTTATCACATGGACAGAAAAGGTGAAGTGTGAGTTTCAGCATGCAAGTCTTGGCTTTTGGTATCTAGTATCTGGTTTGCCAGAATCTGAGCGTACACCCCCAAAACACACACTTGCATTGTTAACTGTGGGTAAGTATACTCACTAGTGACAGATGTAGAATCTAAGTCTGCTCTCAGATACGCACTACCTCATTTTGGGAGAAAAACTGCTTTTTCCATTTGAGGTACTGATGTCTGCTTAACTCTGGCAATTTAAATTGTGACTTCATAGGCACATCTATGCATGGTTAGCAGGAGAGGTTGCCCTGGAGCTCACCTTGCCCCTGGAGCATACTCAAATCATTCCAGAAAGATGGAAGAAACACTGTACTGCCTTCAAAACTCCCTATAGAAGACTTACAACCTTGATGACCTAGTCATCTATTTGAAAGACTCATATGAAGGTCTTTTTTTTTTTTTTTTTTTTTTTTTTTTTGAGATAGGGTCTCACTCTATCACCCAGGCTGGAGTGCAGTGATGTGATCATGGCTCACTGAAGCCTTGACCTCCCAGGCTCAGGCAATCCTCTCACTCTCAGCCTCCCAAGCAGCCGGGGCTACAGGCATGCACCACCATCCCCAGCTAATTTCTTTCTTTGTTTTTTTGAGACGGAGTCTCGCCCTGTTGCCCAGGTTGGAGTGCAGTGGTGCAATCTCAGCTTACTGCAATCTCTGCATCCCGGGTTCATGCAATTCTCCTGCCTCAGCCTCCCGAGTAGATGGGATTACAGGCATGCACCACCACGCCTGGCTAATTTTTGTATTTTTAGTAGAGATGAGGTTTCACCATGTTGGCCAGGCTGGTCTTAAACTCCTGGCCTCAAATGATCCGCCCACCTCTGCCTCCCAAAATGTGGGATTACAGCCGTGAGCCACCGTGCCTGGCCCCAGCTAATTTTTTTTTTTTTGGTAGAGATGGGGTCTCACCATGTTGTCCAGGCTGGTCTCAAACTCCTCGGCTCAAGCAATCTACCCCTCTTGGCCTCCCAAAATGCTGGGACTATAGACTTGAGCCACCAAGCCTGGCACGTATGAGGGTCTTTATCTCTGCTTGGTCCCCTCTTATCATAGTAGGATACCTTTTTCTCTTCTAGCCTTGGAATTGGAGATCTATTGGTCAGTCCTTGCTTTGTCAAAAATGACCTTTTTCAGGACTCTTTCTTCATCATACCTTCCTCTAAGTCTCTTACAGAAGTTCAGCTCAGTTAAATACGTATATATATATATGTGTGTGTATATATATGTGTGTGTGTGTGTGTGTATAGTAGGACAGATAGATATTAAAAGAGTGATTACAGACGCAGTATACATTTGGAAGTGTAAAACAAGGGGATTTATGCAGCTTGGTTTCTTCCCAGTTCACCCTCACTTTGAGTTCCTTCCCTGACTTTTCAGCATGGTCATTTAGCCCTGCTTTAGCTTGGTGTCATTGCAAACTTAGTGGGCCTGTGCCCCTGTGATGTGGAATATGAAAAGGGGAATGTGGTATAGTGTAAAGAACACTGGACTAGGAATTGGAAGATCGGGTGGGTCAAATGTGATAATATGGGTACAGTAACTCTGAATATTAATCAAGTACTACACAGACATACCACATTCAGGTGATTTATTTAATTGGAATTTGAAGCTGGTCTCTGGCTTCTATTCAAGAAGCAAAACTGTCTTTGAGGAGAAGCTGGCAATTTTCTGGTGAGTTACCTGCCCTTTTCCAAGGATTTTTTTTTTTTTTTTTTTTGAGCTGGGAGAGAATCCCGCTGTATGACCGAGCTTGCCCAGGCGTTATGGAATTTTCCTTGTCTGCCAGGCCAGAGTTCCTGCTCTGTGTCCAGAAGGATGTTTTTCTATTGGTCTGTTCCATAACAGGAT